CCGGCCCGGCCCGGGGCAGCCCCCGCCGCTGCGGAGCGGGTCTCTGCGGCCGGCAACGGCAGCGCCGAGACGGGGCCCTCGAAACACCGTGAGACGCCAGAGTTTCTCCGGGGAAACGTTACAGATAAGCTCCCCCGTAGCAGCACAAGCAGAAGCAGCCCCCCGCAAAATGTCCCTTGGCACAGGGTGATGCTGCCAGCGCTCACCCAGCACTGCAGGTAGGACAGGACCCCCGCCTCCTGACTAAGGCSTGAGGCTTCAGAAGTGTTAGGGACAGCCATGCGGCATCGCTCGGGAAATTTCCACCCAGCCTCTGCAGCCATTAAGTGGTGGAGGGTAGTGCTGGTTCTATCRTGTTGCTGGGTACACGCTGCTGGGGTGAGAGAAAGCAGGCCTGGGAGCTGTACTGAAGTCACAGACTCACAGGATCTGAGGTTGGAAGGGACCTCTGGAGATCATCTAGTCCAGCCCCCCTGCTCCAGCAGGGACACCCAGAGCACGGGGCACAGGGCGGCATCCAGGCAGGTTTTGGAAGGTCTCCAGAGAAGGAGACACCACAGCCTCCCTGGGCAGCCTGTGCCAGGGCTCTGGCACCCTCGCAGGCACAAAGATTTTTCCTCTGTTCAGACAGAACTCCTTGTGTTTCCGTTTGTGCCCGTTGCCTCTTGTCCTGGTGCTGGGCACCACTGACAAGAGTCTGTCCCTGTCCTTGTGACACCCTCCCTCCCTTCAGACGTTTACACTAATGGACAAGAAGGATGTAGTGACCAAAGCTGGGCCACCTTTCATTTCAGAGTGTAGAGGAGGCCTTTTCATAGTTGAATAAGCTCTTATCTCATCTGCTTAGGGGCTAAGTTCCAGCTGAGTGCAGCATGCTATCAAAGCAGCAAAGCAGAGCAAGTATTTGTGATGCGAGACAGCACTTACGCTCTGTGTAGTTGAACATCTTCATCTGCCCATTATGGCAACCCTAGTAGAAACATTCCATAGGTAAGTCAAAGTACAGTATTAAAAACAAAAAAAACAGGGTTTTTTAAATTAGTAGAGTGCCTTATTCTGAATAGCTTATTACAGCTTATGCGGAAGACATCTTGAGTGCTGATAGCWGACTGTGACATGACACATACTTTGAAAGTATCTCTAACATAGCATATTACAAAAGCCATACACCACCTCACAGCTTCAAGCACAAATCTCCCCTCCATCAGTTTGTGTATTTAGCATTCTCTCCAAGCAGTTTTTGTAGAATAACTGAGGGAGAACTGAAAGCAGAACAGGATATGTGCAAACTTTACAGAAAGGTTGGAGGAGGAGGAAATATGAATCATATTTGTATATCTGCAYATTTTTTCTCCCACGAACTTCTCCATTTCAAATTTTAGCCACTTTCACTTTGTTTCCCTTTATGGTAAAGGGTAAGGTTTTTCTTTCACTTCAGATAACCTTTAGGGCACTCCTTAGGAAAATCTTACATACCTGTAATAATTCTATGATGTATTCCCTTGCTCATCAAAATCTCAGAACGACATTTTACTTGCAATRTATTCAACATGAAATATTTCCTGCCCCAGACACCGGTAATTACTGCTAAACAGATTGCTAGACTCTCTCACAATACTGAGTGAAAATAAGATTGTCACGTTCCCTAGTAGGTTAGCAGTCTCACATGAGCTTACATTGCCATCTAGTACGTCTGTGTATAACATGTCATAATTGTTAACTTCGATTTTCAACAGCAAGATGCACACAGCCACCTGCAGAAGGAACTTTAATGCAGTTGCCCTTAGRTTATACTTCAGCCCARAAACWGTTAYACAACTTKGACTAAAGATCATTATACAAAGTAYGACTGCTTTGCTACTAAGATTTAATTTGGGTCAAGAAATAAAGTAGAAGTGGAATTTGTAAATATAATTTGGTAACATTATTTATGTAAAGCCTCTAAGTACCTATGCACTTCTGGCCATTCATACAGTGGAAGGGTGCTACTTTGCCCAGAGCAGAAAGTCAGATTATTTATCAGCCACCAGCACATTCTGGCAGTTTCTGTATGATCTTCCTCAAGTTCAACGTACTGCAAGGGGGAGGGAGAAACATCCTAAGCATGGAAGGACACAGATGCCATAGTCCATCCTCCTTCTACTACAGCGATGCCAATGGTAAGAGCTGCTGTTCCACAACACTTAATTAAGAAAAAGACTACAATCTACTTAAGGGGAAGGAAAAAAAAAAAAAAAGCCTGCAGCTATATAATGAGGTTAGAAGGAAGATTCTCTTCATCCCTCCCTTATAATCCTAGCCATGATCTGAACTGGAAAAAGAAATAYTCCTGTTTTTAAAAACAAGATTTAACAAAGCTCTCAGCTAGCCCGAGCTACACTGGGAGGGCCTATCTCTAGATACTAGAGTTACAAACCTGCCCTCTAAGTGCTGAACAGCACATTCACACCATCAGAAGGAAAGCAAAGTCTGAGATGAACATCACTGGCCTGAACCTGCAGCTTTTCCCCTGCTCCAGTGACGGCCAGAAGGCAAATGTGTGGAATGATTCATTACAAAGTGCTCTTCCGAGACAGGCAATAAAGAGCTTGAACGAACTGGATTTGCAGAACAAAGGGGAGGGCCCAGTCCAGGGCACTGGGGTGCTGGCAGGGAGCAGAGCAAGCAGAGGGCACGTGCAGAGCAGATGGGTTATTGCAGGGCTGCAGCACCAGGCACCTGCTCCTGCAGATGCACCTGGCACGGAGCAGGCTCCAACCCTCTCCTGGTGCTTTCCAGCCACCTATCACCCAACAAAGCTTTATTCCCTGCCCCCTCTTTCAATGCCATAACTGAAAATCCAAGCTTTGACCCACACACACAGATCAAGTATTTTCTTTTCTCCCTAGTGAGGAGAACGTGGAGCTGCCAACTGGCCATATAAGTAGCAGTTGTAATTCTGGATATGAAGAAAAAAAAAAAAAGACAGGGCACGGGGCATTTAGGAATTGCTCAGCTGTTCGGAAAAAGATCCACATTAACTCACTGGAGTCAACATGCACATTCATGCTCACAGATGCAAAAGGCGAGACAAGTTATTTGGTTTTTGGAGCTATTTACATTTAGCTGAAGGCATTCTGTCGTATAAAATACCCCAACAGCAACAAAGTGCATTTTGGTGCCCACTTGGATAACCAGCCTCATGGTGGCTCAGGCTGTAGAAGCGCATGTGTGTATCTTATTTATTGCAACCACTGTGCACTGTGCCAGGGGCTTTGTTCTTTATTTTGCATGTTTCTGTTGATTAAAATAAAAGGGAGGGAGGGTGTGAAAAAAGGGGAAGGAACATTTCTCACACCAAACCTTCCTGCTTGCCCCAAGCATACAAATTAGATTTGGGAGCTCTTTAGTTAAATAGTCTTTTGGAAATGCTAGTCCCATGGTCTTTGTCTTCTTTAGCCTAGCAAAAATACTAAAAATGAACAACCAAAAAAAAAAATAAAATAAAATAAAATTTGAGCACAAGAGGTCAAATCAGTTAATAAATACATGTATCTCAACCATACAACTACCACTGCAAGAAGCTCTTAAAACATCAACTCCTCTTTCGGTAGGCATTTGGGAATTCCAGAGTCTATTCCCCCCTGCAGTAAAGACTATTTTTGCTTCCTCCAAAATCTACACAGTAAAGACTGTTCTTACATAAAGAAGAAAAAAAAAAAAAGTCAGCTGGCATATGCATCTTTTGCCTGAAGAARTGAAGTTTACCAGATCATACCACACTAGCTCCTTGACAGACAAGTTTATTGAAACATTTTTTAAAAGCAGATATTCTGAATATTCCATCAATCCCAACAGATCAGAGAAAAACAACTGTTCAGCGTCCAGATGAAGTGTGCATGTTACAAATTGTACATTTTTCATATACTCATTTATACCACATGACATGAGCATAAAATACAATGATTCTTATGCCATTTCAGTATGCCAATTTATTGCTACAGTTCCCAAAGAAGTAGGGCACACCTGGAAATAGATCTCAATCCAAGGTTACTACAGCCGTTACTAATCCTTGGACCACCCCAAGATCACATCACTAGTATTCAATGTAAACCAGCTCATGTATTTAAAGGGCTTTCATTTTAATTTACAGCTAAATTAAGCATTTTGTAAGACTGTATTCTTAGTTATACCTCCTGTTAAGTACATTATTTGAAGTATTTACTACAATATAAATACTTCAGATCACAGGAGACAACATTTTCCTTCATTTCGCTTGACATCTTTAGCTAAACCAATCAGATGAACAGGTCCCAAGGAAAAAAAGGTGCAGGAGCAGTAAATTTCACCCAGTTGCGCAGGGAATTAAGGTCCAGAGCCCATAYGTGACATATTATCCGTCCAAAACGGAAGGCAGTTTGAGCTCAGCAGGTGCTGTCATGTATCCTTGCACAGTAATCACAAGGTCTTATTGTGAGCCAGTGTTGAACAAGCCTTTAGAGTACTGATTTGGGTCCTCTTCTCCGGTCTGGCCCCAAGAACAGATCCGAGAGCTCCACATTCTGAATGCAAATCAAACTTYAGCTGTTCCCACCTGAGCCCAGCACAAACACTTTTTAAAGGTCAGATGCCATTTGAAAGTCTACAATTTAGGTCAAACAATTTTCACATATAAATACGTTTTGCCAGCCCTTTTGACCAATAATATGATCATTTCATTGTCAAAATGAGGATTTTTTTTTTTAAGCAAATGAAAAGCTTATTTCAACAGTAAAAGATCTCTATATCCAGTGTGAAAGTAACATGGTGGTATAAATATATGCATTCATTGTATTACACATAACATATTATACACATTCCAGTTAACCATGGAACAATTAGAGTAGATGACTACTAGTCAAGGGTACAAAGTGGTTCTGTAAACAAGATTTTGAGAAACTTTGAGGAAAGTCTGATTTTGGGAAAGATGATAATCTTGGGTTTCTGTTTTTAATTTCAAAGAAACCTTTTTTAAGGATGCTGTATATAAGAATGCACTTTGTATTAAAACAAGGATCAATACTTTACAGTTTAAGAAACTTTACATATGTACATAAATTACACATCAGGAATGGTTTTAAAGCTCAAAATGAGTTGTCAGAAAAGTTCTATTTCCCTTCTATTAAAATCTTTAACTCTTTTACATTGTGATCATTTGCAACTGCCACAGCGTGATCCAGTGCTCGGATACTTGCTAGAAGCTTTATTATCTGCTTTATGTTCTCCCTAAATAAGAGGAAAGGGAAAAGTCAAGACAAGAACTAAACAACACTGAACCTGTATCACTATTTTAACAATCTCCTTTCTTCCCCAAAACCATGAGTATGAATGGATAAAACAAACTGGTTTCAGATAGTTTCACATTACCTTCCATCCTACTTGCTTAATAGTAGTACAAAAAGTTAGATTATCAACTTTATGCACCAAATTGTCTTATATATTATATATGTATATATTATATATATCTATATAAAATCTAAAAGCAGTACAGTCTAAAGAAAAACATTTGGATTAGTTAAGGCATTTAAATCACAGCTACTGACCAGTAATTTTTGTTTTTACCCTCCCCACCCCCAAAAAGTCAAGCACAAAAATATTTTCGTGCATGCCTTAAAAAGGTAAGAAGTCTGCCACACAAAATGCATTTTAATTCAGGTGATTTAAGTAGCTTGGAGTGAACAAACTGCTTGGGGAGAGGGACATGGGGGTTGTCTGAACTTTCTAAGCTCCCAAGAACGTTTTTATATCTTAAAGGGACATCAGAGATTAAATTTAAATCTCTCAGACAATACTAGAGGTCAAAAATTCATGTTAAAAGTGAAACTGATTCTTAAAAAGAAAAAAAAAAATCCTACAACTTTGAGAAATTAACCTCAGTCCTCTCTGCAGAAGTCAATGCGTTTGTTAAGACAGAACTGTATGACTTTCACATGAATAGACACAACATCTTTCAGTTATTCAGTGCTGTATTTCTGTCGCAGACTCACTTCATCTGCTTAGTGGGGGCAATGAGAGAAGACTTATTAAATGCATGGAAATAGCAGGAATCAAAGAATCACAGAATGGTTGAGGCTGAAGGGGAGGAATTTAGAAAACAGAAATTATACCAAAAATCACTAAAGAAAAGTATTAATTTGCTATTAAACTTCCAATACAAAAGTTCTACCAAGTTTTGGGAGACAAGTTCAACTGGCAAAGAGAGTTCTTTCCTATTCAGAAACTGGCTATGAAAACAGGAGATAAAGTTTAATCTCTACTGGACTCTCTCTGAAGTCTTTTAATGGATTCCYATCCCAGACTAGACCAGGCATTTTGGTTTCAGAAAGAAAGGAGGAAAGGGTCTACTCTGGATTTGGATCATATGGGGAAATTTAAATTGTTACATGACATTAAATTGGTATGTGACATTATGATTATATAGTGCAGACACTTGGGAGTGGATAAAAAGAAGTTTCAGCATGATCTGGTGTGGCACAAAGCCCTGCTTCTCTGAGAACTGGATATGCTAAACTGGAAAGTAATTCTCCTAACAGATAAATGTCCAACAATATAGTAACTGGGAGAGGGGAAGGGGGGGGGGGGGGGGGAAGAAGGATTTTTGAGTTATTCACTGTACCAGAAAAAAAGGCCTTAATCAAGATTTATGATCATTATGTCATGTTTCAAGGAAAAATTCTTTCTCTTCATGTGAGAAGTAAAAAGACTCTCAGACGACAGAAAACAAGATAAGTCTAAATAGGACTTTCATATAGTATTATTTCAAAAGCATAAATTACAATCCAGAATTCATTATGCAGGAATGAACAACAGGCTCAGAGGATGGAGTCCAAAAAGTAAAAAATTCTCCAGAATCAAGGAGTAGTATAAAATGTATTTTGAATATCTGGTAATTTCGAGCAGCTGCTGTTCACCACCACCGTACAAACCACCATCTATCACACCATAACAACATCAAGACTGGATTCAAAGAAAACTGATGGATCTGCAGTAGCACGGAGATATTTACCGACGTGTGCCCACATCAGCCAAGCACCTCAAAGCACAAGAAACGCAGCTGCGTTAATATAAATTACCTTGCATTTCTTTTCTCTACATCAGAGCAACCAATGCTGTTTCTATAAATTGTGTCAGCCAGGTGAACAAGGTATCTACAGAAGTTTTCCAGCTGAGAAATTGTCTTGTCTCCTTTTAGATTAGCAAACCACTGTTTAGGAAAGCAAGCAATGACCTAGACATAACATAAAAAAAGAAGAATTTTTTTTTTTTTTAAATTAACCAACATTGTTAAAAAAAATCAACATAATTTGGGAAATCTGCCAAGTGAAACTGCAGTGACAAGGCCCAATTAAGTGAAACTGCAAAGAACTTCTGACAAAAATACGGCAATCCAAAATTCAATTGGTAAAAACACTAAAATATACACTGTGCCTACACTATCTACAGACAGCAACGAGGGAAGGTTTGTTTTTTAGTTGACCTCTTAATTTTATTTATTATCCGATTTTTCATTGACATTGCAATATCAAAGCCAGGACCGCCTGAATTTCAAGACTGTCCTCAAGTTTAAACTACACTTCTCCATCAACTGCAACTTCCAAATTAAAAAGTATTTTCATTATTTTGTTCATTTTCACTTACACTTTGTGCTTTCTTAATGCTGTCATCGCCATACTCAGAATTCTGAAAAGCCATAAGAATGTATCTATTTAGCAGACCATCTATTGACAGTTCCTGGAGAGTTTTGTTCGAAAGGATTCCACACCACTGGAGAAAGTTTCCTAATAACTGAAGATGCAATACAGGGGAAAAATAAGCATTAAAAGCGTATGGACAAACAATACTCTAAAGAACCACGGAATGGTTGAGGTTGGAAGGGCCCTCAAAAGATCATCTAATCCAACCTCCCTGCTCCAGCAGGGACACCCTGAGCACAGGGTGGCATCCAGGCAGGTGCTGAAGATCTCCAGGGAAGGAGACTCCACARCCTCCCTGGGCAGCCTGTGCCAGGGCTCTGTCAAAAGCCTCRAATGCATCAGTACGGCCAAGGTCAGCAAGGGAAAGGTGCCTTTTGATAGCTTCAAAACCACTCAGAACGCAAGAAGGAGCAGTATCGAGTGGGAGAAGTTCCCACAAGAGACACCGTTGCTGCCGGCGCGGCTCCGGCCCCGCTCCAAGGACAGAGCGGCCAGGAGCCCCTGAGGAAGCAGCAAAGCCAACGCCGGCCTCGCCAGCCTCCGCATGTGCTCTTTGCTCTGCTGCAGGGGACCTGCTAGCACAAGGCGGCCGAGTTCTAACGTTTCTTCAAAATAAAACAGGGACAGCAGCTTGAGGAGTTGTGAACCACCCTGGCTCCCACAGACAGGGCCAGAGGCGGGCGATATCACTCCTAAAAATCAGCATTTTAATAAATGAGCTTCAAGTACTTTTTGCTCTAAGAGAAAGTTCATTTTTGAGTGGAAAAAAAGAASAGCAAGTACTTCAAGGAAATGAGGTGATCCAAAGCTACTAGGAGTGCAATCTCTCTCACTGCTGTAATCTTGTATAGAAAATTCCAGACAGTTTTATTTGCAGGATCACAGAGGTCAGCAGCATMATCCCTCACTGCTCTCAAACCCTCCCTTTTCTAATCTCTCATTTCCCCAAAACTACAAAAGCTTTAGTTTCCTGCACACCTTTGGAAACTCGGTAGTACGCATTACACAYGTGCAGGCTTTCTCTTCCACACCCGTTGTTTCAAGGAGACCAGAATTACAACTGCTCTCACATTTTACAAAGTAACTACTTYTACAAAAACAGGCACAAATCTGCCTTTTTATCCCAGTTATTATTATGAGGTTTTTCACACGATTAAAAAGAAGTAAACAAACCAAGTTCTCTCATTCCCACACAAGTGAACTAAAAGCACCACACATTTTATTTTGACAAACACAATGACATCCTTTCAAAAAAGGAAAGCCCTGGGTTGCCGAGTAAAGCCACAGTACGCAATTTAAAAGGCTCTGCTTCCATCTGGCAAAGGCTTTTAAAGCCTTCAGACTTTGTTATTAAAGGCTAAGAATCCTACCTGTTCTTTCTGAGAATTCTGCAGCTCTTTCTATTAAAGTTAGGACAAAACTCCATCTGCCATCTTCCAAAAATATGAAGAATATTTTGTTGCTACACTGTTCAGGTCAAAACTCTACCAGATCTATTTACTGACTTACCTTAACAGAAGACCAAAACTGACGTTGGAAAAACAAATATGGGCCGGAGTTCTTGTTTTCTAAGATGCTGGAAAGCAAGAGATTTCTTTAATGAGCAACCAAGAGCTCTTCTGTCTCAAGTTTGCTGCCTTCCTCCTTCCCACACACACATTTCTATAAATACTCCATTCCTCCGCTCAGCCAATCCCTGCTTAATGCTCACAGCACAGCGATGACACAGCTCCTTTATCCAGACAGTGAAACATATAAAAGTATGGGAGAAAAAAAMCCCTAAAACCTATGGAAAAAAAGGCACTGACCTGCAAATAAACAAATCTAATACAATATTTAAAAAAGCAAACTTACTTTTTTGGATATAATGGCATGAATACATCATCATCAAGTGTTCTCCTCATTCGCAGCAACAATGCYTTTAGAAGCATCTGAAATAGATGAATTTCTATGAAATTTCCAGTGCACTACSTAATAGTTAGCCACGGAAATTTTGATTTTAAAAGCAACAAAAATTCATTCATGACTACCAGCAAAATGATTAAATACTTAAGCAAAATATTACAGAAATCTGTAATGATTACAAATTAGAGTTGAACTTTCACACTTTCAATAAAAATCCCAAAAACTCAATTAACTACTGTGAAATCCTAGCTTAGTCATTTTAACCTTCAGCTAACTTCCCCCTGCCCCACGCTTTGGCCCCATCTCTTGTTATTCTAAGAGCCCCACATTTGTGGGCACTGCATTTGGCACTGCACTCGAGCTTGCGGTGCAAGTACTGACAAGCAAATTTTGACAACAGATTTGGAGAGCTTACAAAGATCCCCAAAAGAAAGTTTTAACCACCTCAGCTGACCTTTAAAAGCAAATCACARACTGCACCTTAGTAGCACTCCTCCCTTCATCTCTACCCTAATTTTGGGGCAGGCTTCACTGACCAAGTTCCTCCTCCTATTTTAATGCTGTTACCCARCTCTGTGCAACTAGCCAGCATTATATCAAACAGCAAACTTCTTGATTCCCACCACATATGCCATGTTTTGCAGTATAGCGTCTTACCAGATATATTCACATTCCTTAATTCATCCCACACTTACTTGTGTATTTTTGTTTTCAGCATTCACCACTGAAGGGTATCCATCTACTAATTTTTGCACCATTGCTACCATCCTAGATGTTTGTGTTGTAGAAAAAGGATCCCATATATTTTCAGAAATCACTGCAAGAGATTAAAGGATTATCCAGCTCAGAAACAGGCAGCAAGGCAGTCAGATACACAACAATCGAGAATTTACAAACCAGCAAAATCTAAAACCATAAACAAGCACTTAAAATAAAAGCCTTAAACAAAAAMCCCAAAGGATACCTGTTAACTTAGGGAGAATTACTCTCTCCACAATGGTAGGTAATAGCGAAATATCAGCATCATCTTTTTCTTGCTCTTGTTCTTCACAGCCATAAAACAGCAGCGATTCAAACCACAACATAGTCTCAAAATCTCGACACTTGCCCTAATAAAGTGAATTGGAGAAGAGGTCAAAATCTAAACCAGTAATTGGAAGTCAATAAGTTAAAATAAAATAAAACTTGCTGGAGCTCCAGAAGTATGATATACCACCTGACTAGAAAAAAATTGCTTTACAATTGTCTACAGTGCTCCAGCTAGGTAAGCTGTATTTGAGCACAGTAACCATTTGAAAATCCARTCCTTTTCCTGTAAGCGTCAGGTATTCACCTACACATGGACCAAAGGAATCAGGTATGAGGACGGGCAAGTCAGTTCACCTCCTGCCTTGGCTCCCCCACTCCTGAAGCGGTGCTGTTTCCTTCAGAAAGGCAGGCAAGCCCAGTTCCTGACAAGGGAATGGAGAAATGATTCTTTTCCCCAACCAAAACCTGGCTTTGCATGGGTTGCAAGGTTAATTTTCCACAGATCAGGCAAATATGCCAATTCATCCTGCAACTGCACAATCACTAGTACAGTGGAAATGGCAGAAACAGGACTTTTTTGGACAGTTGTTGCCCTGAAGATTTTAACTTCTAATTATACACAAGCCAAACAAGAGCACACAGATTAAGGGGAAAATGAGAAATACATAGACTGCTTACATTACACAATTATGTTTTTCTGGACTTAAAGGTCTTTTGAATCTTGTATTTTTTTCTGGCTTAACAAGATGCTTAGAGACAGTAACAGACAATGCAGAAACAGCAGCAAAAACTGTAAGATTTAGGAATTCAATACCTTGTCTCCAACTAACTTAAGCTGATTTTGCAAGCCTGGAAACTCACATGAAAGTAAAACAGGGAGAACAGAGTATTCACAAAATACACATTAAAAAGCAGACTGAAGTTGAATGAGGTCACCTTTTACAGGCTGCCCCTCATTTAGGCAGGGTAAATACCCTGAATGTCCTCAAAAGACTCTTACTTCCCGCCCTCTGCGGTCGGAGCAGAAGACTGCCTTCTACAAATACTCCTTGTGACTGAGAAAACACACCTCTGAAGAAAGGAGAGGACCAGTCATTTGAAACAAGCCGAGATATACAGATAAGCTTAGCTTTGAAAGTGGACAGAGCCCATCTGGCTCATTAGTCTAGTTGTCTAACAAAATAGGGTCTCGTGGCTTGACCCACCTTCTCCCAGCCCCCAGTAACAAGTAAATTCCTACAAGTACTGTGAAAATAAGCTACTGACTGGAGTCAAAACAGCCTCCCTTCACCTGGAGGGCTTTCACTGCTAGGAAGAACTTGGGAGTCGAGTGACCTGAACTGTTTGTCCCAAGGCTGCTCACACCAGCACATACACAGGCTGGCCAACAAACTCGTGCCAGGGGTGCTGGGTTGCAGTTGTGCTGCTTCTCCCAGGCTCCCTACTTAATAACTGGGCAACAAGTGCTATGAGAGGGCTTAAACTGTCAGGCAAAGACCTAGAGAGGGCAAACAGGCAGGCGAGAGAGGCAAGGGTGCATTGTGCAGAAACGTGGGTCATAAGYCACCAAAAGAACCAGCTTCTTAGTTCCACTTCATCTGAAGAAACATCTCCAGAATCCCTGATTTCAATTATTTTTTAAACCTAAATGTAATATTGAAGAATCTGCTTGGCTTTTTGGTCTATAGTATTCCCTGAAAAAGCTCCTTTATGTGCTGAGTTTAACTCTGGCCTGTTAGGAATCAGAGGGGAAAAAAAAAAAAATCATTAGGAACAACAGCCCAGAAACCCATCAGAAAGGCACATACATGTCTGCTACAAGCTGCATGCCTAGAACATGCCCTTGGGAAAAGGACACGTCAAAGGTACAATTCCCTTTGTGCTGCAGAAGCGTGAAAGGACTACAATAGAAAAGCTGACGTGAAAGTTGCTTGCACAGGGGCTTACCTCCAGCGGAGTCCAGATAAGCAGCTGAAGTCTGATTAAAGGGTTGAACAGCTTCGGTAAACAGAGGCCAATATAAGCATCCTTGTAAGAAGCAAAGTACTTTGAACGCCAAGCTTCAAACTGTGACTTAATACAATCAATTGAATAAAAGCTTTCCAAAACATCTTCAAAAACTTTACTGGACTCCTTTAATATACGATCTGGTGAGGGGAAGAAAGTCATGGCAGTAAGTTAATTATCTTTTTTCTCTATAGTACCTTTCAGGACAGACTTTGAAACTGAACAGCATAAACKTCAACTGTTGTCAATGTAAAAAAGAAGTTTTATTTCAAAGATTTCAATTCTGCCTCAAGTATAAAAGATAATAAAAATATGAGCACATAGGTACTACCTGGTATACTGTTTTATTACAAGCCCTGCTTTAAACACCTTATACAATGATTACCAGTCTTGCAACAAGAAAACAGAGTGGGTTTAACTTCAAAGCTGGCCTTGTGCTTTGGGTGGGAGTTTGGAACAGGAGGAAGGACCTCCMTGCAGGTTCCTTCCAACCCACGTTATTCTGTAACTTTGTTCATCCAAGGGCAGCATCTCTGAGCCAGGCTGAGTGAATAAGCACAACAGACAAAAAGCRGTCCTGGTAAAAATCACACTAAGCTGCTGAACACATGACATTAGGACATAGCAACCATGGCAATCCCTTATCATATTTGCTGTATTTTAACATAATTACTTTTTTTTGGTGATCCATTTTTTTCACGTATTAATTTGTCTCAGTTACCTAGGTATTGTTTTCCTCTCGYCTTTTTTATTCTCCAGGGTTAGTTYTATCRTAGCCAGTCRCTTCTTGCCATGGCCACACAGTTCTAAATGCTAAGTGACAGCAGTTACCTGCACATAACTAACATTAAAAYACCCACCACACTGAGGGAGCGTTATGCAATACAAACAATTTCCACACTGGGGTCTAGAAGAGATGCTCAGTCTACAAAAGACTCAGCAGGTCTAAGATGCACCCTGCTGTCCCATATAGCTCACCACTGATTATGGCTATGGCAAGAGCTATGGATGATAAATGAAAGCTTTATAAATATAATACTTATTCAAAATTTGACAATGCTCTTACAGAAAGCGTTCATGTACACAGAAAAAACAATTTGGCCACACTAAATTTTCCATCTTTATCATTTATCTTATTGAAGTTTATTATAGCACCTAACAACTCTGAATAGATGCTTTATTTGTTAAAATAGCTCTTTACTTGCATCCACAGTTTTCGTGCATTGACCAGCTAAAGAGATGCAAAATATTTGCCCTTTTGAAGGATTCACCTGCTTGACAATTCATCAAAATGCTTCTCTTCATCTGCTCAGAGTTTGTTCCTCTACCACCAGCTCCAGCACTGGGTTCAGCATTCTTGTCTCTGGTAAGACYGATTTACTTACTTTAAACCTATCCGATTGCTTAATTTCTCTTAAGCTCTCCCTCCGAGAGATAAAAGRGTATTCTTAGAGCTCCAAATATTTTGATTCTGGTTATAAAATCCCCACTTACTTTCTGCTTTCCTTTTCCTAGTTGAAGAGTCCAGAGTGTTTCATGTCTCCACACAGACATACAAACCAACCTACCGATGCATTTCTCTGTGCTCCCCCTTTTCTGCACTTGCCCTAATCTAAATAAGCTCCCCTAGYGAGAGATGGTAATAATGCTGCTGAGGTTCAAGACGAGAAGGTAACAGGATTACTGTGGCTGCTTTCGCAGTAACCTCTAGTCTTCTCTTTTCCTTTTACCTGCCACTGTCCAAGCTGACTGTTTTATCAGACTATCTGCACTACACACACACACACGCCCTCAAGATTCTTGCAATTCCCTCAGTGCTCAAGAGGCATTAGCTTAATTTACAACCCCATTCATTGCATAACTACAGTAAAAGTTACTTTGAGCAAACTGGTCATAAAACTGCAGATGAATTTAAAATCTGCCAGCACTACAAGATCTTTCTGCAATGTTTTATAGTCAACTTTGTTAACTTTAGCAAAGTTTGACAGACTATAACCAGAATCTATTAAAACTTTGYCAATGGAATTTTGCATAACCATCTAGAAATGCATAATGTATTTCCTCACAAGCAACAAAAGTTTCTAAACTCTTCAAAATTCTACATGTAAAGCAAAATAATGTGTCAGCATATAACCAATTGTCAGCAGATTTCTGGAGAATGATCAAGCATGTTCCAAACCTGCAGCATGTTCCAACTCACTACAGATGGAAGATTTAGTTAGCTGCAAACTGCACAGGGGACTGGCATAAAGGAATACTTTGATGACCCTGCTGATTCTGCCAGAAACAATTTCTTTCACCAAAATATAGTAAAACATGTATGTGGGGCTACTTCTGAACTGCTTTTTTTTTTTTTAAAAAAAAAGCTAAATTTTCTATAGTTTACTACATAAGCCCCAGTGATTTTTCTAACCTCGCTCCATATTGAAGTTTGTAATATCCGTTGAGGTTTCCTCATCATCGCTCGAAAGGCCTTCAAGGTGATCAGCCATCTTCCCAGTTTGCTCCCTTGCTTGCCTGCGACGGGCTCTGAGAAGACAAAACAGCACGAAACAGCTATTAGATCTACTCCTGAGCAGCGAAGAGCCTTGCCTAAGCTTGTCCTAACTTCGAATGTAAGGAGTAAGAGCAGCTTTCTCTATTTTGTTATCTCAAAAAGGTGAAGGAAGAAGACAGAAGAGACCACATGGATACTGAACGGGTTTGTTCTAKTCTCTTTCAGTGATTCTAACAAGCGTTATTTAAAACGGCCAACCCTTTCGTGCACTTAAATGAGGTGGGGTTATTCAGGAAATGCCCTGCAAGGCAGCTTCAGTATTTCCTTCCTTCCCTGCTGTTTCTGTTTTGTAAGCTCTCCCAAAAAAGCAGACAAGAAATCTGAGCACTCTACCTTCTAGCCTCTCTTTCCGCAGTCCGCCGCTTCACTTGTTCTTGATAGAGCACTCTGTCTCGTCCAAAAGAATCCAGATTTGGTGCCATCAGTGCCTTATCTGCAAAAATATATCAATGAAAATTAAAAAGCTTATCTACGATTATATAATGTGTTATAGGCAGTTTCATAAGAGCCCTTTATCTATGCAAAATTATGAAGTAATGAACTTGAAACTTGAAGTAGAAACTCAAGGTTTTCAAAAAGATGAGCCCTGAAGTCTGAATTCAGAAGTCTAGAGGTTAAAAGAGGAAGTAATGGAGGTTGGAAAAATCTCCACTTGAAGTCAATCTCGAGACCGCTGTCACCATACTTCCCTCTTGTCCCTCTCATAGCAGTGTTCAACCATTTAAAGTCAACAGTTTCAGTAAATACTACCTAAACTGATTAGTCGAAGAAAAAAAAAAATATGCTGCTCACATAAGCATGTAGAGCATWTATGTATTTTAAAAACAAAGTGAACAAAAAAATAAGAAGGCAGAGAAGAGTGACCAGAGATAAAAGTGATATGATATTTCAGAGTTCTATTCATACAGTATCCCTCACTGAAATAAAGTTTGTATTCTTTAGATTACCAAAAATTTCAGATGCATCTTATCTACTAGAAGATCAGCCTCTCCTCTCTCCCTTTCAGACAGTCATTCAGTAATAAGCCATTCTGACTACAGAAAATATAGCTGATCAGTGAAAATGATTAGAGATCAGCAAGCAGGCCTAAAGACATTTCCAAATCATCCTTTTTTTTTGGTAAATTCTTAAAAGTGGAWTAAGTATTAGCCAGTACTTAAATCCACCCATTAAAATCTAGTTTAAAAAGCTTAAATAAAACATTTAAAACGTAAATAAAAGTTTAAATAAAATCCTACCCAAATTACAGGAGTATATTTACATGTACTAAACTGATTTACAAAACCACCATAAAAAAGGTTAAAAACAACAGGAAAAAAAAAAAAGTATTTTAGTTCCATAAAAGCAATACTAACATGTTTGGACAAGTGATGACTTTCATCCATAAGTTAATTTAAAAAAAAAAAAAAAAAAAAATTCTTCTCAAAACCAAACCCCCCTCTTTGAAAAAAAAAAAGTAAGGAAACATTGGCAGGCAACTTTATATGCACTTCTAGCCCTCAGCAATGTTCTGACACGTTGCATCAAAAGCAGATTGCCTGTCTGCAACAAACATCAAATGCAGCCTGGCACCTATGCCCAGGTTAGGGCACAGCTGAACTGAACTATTTCCAGAGAGAATCTGTTCTCTGGGCTCCCCGATAGACAGGTAAGATCTGCCCTTAAAACCCAACCTTAACCCTGGCTTTGATTCCTACCCCAGTCACATTCCTGTCCCATAATAGTCCATTTAAGCTTCTTTGAAGGAACTGCTTACAATGCACTGGCTTCTGGTCCTCACAACAGTGTTTTATGGTAAAACTGAAAGGGCTACACATAATGCCTGGGGCTCCAAATAAGCCCTAAAAGAAGCACTGATGCTGACCACTCTTGTAAAGCAATGACCAGCTCTGATGCCCTAAAGCTTTCACATAACATCAGTAAATTTATAAAACTTTGCACTAGGAAACAGCTAGTATTATTGGATTTCATGTCAGCAATAGCAGAAAGAAATCCATTTTTAAAAGCTGAAGKTTCTTAAAATTCTCTAAAATTGAAAGGACTAATATTAGAGACATTTTGACTCATCATTTAATGCTCAACTATCTGCTCCTCCTCAAAGGAGTGCACATTTTCATCCAAATTACTCTTGACACTACTTTTGACATTTTTTCAGAGTTTTTACACACCAGACTGATCACCACACACACACCCCCCCCACCCAAACAAAATTCCTCTGTCTCCACACTCACAATAAAAGGCTATTTTAGTGCGCCGATTTTAAAAAATATTTCAGACATCAGRTTCCTTCCTATCGTTAAAAAAAGCCTCTTCCAGATCCTTAAATTAAACAGCCAAGTGTCTGAAATGATATACTTACGCTGCCTACAGAATAACATAGACAATAACTCTCTAGCACAATTCTTCATGGCTTTCTATAAGAGCTGCAGATGTTATAGGCAATTTACCAAATAAACTAGGTCAAAATAAAGGTTCTGACATAAGCAGAAAACCTGGAGTTTTTCTCTGCTCCAACTACGACCACAACCACCATTACCACTACTCATATTTTGAGCGCTGAGAAAGAGAAAATATAGTTAAGATTGACAGAAAGGTGAAATGAAGTCAGAGTTAGAGTAGCTTTGAGTTTAAAACCAAACAGAYTAGAGAACGTTTAATCTAAACTCGCTTCTACCCATCTCAAGAGCAAGGCCAAGCTTTAAGAGTGTCATACTTTAACATTCACATTTACATTAAGCCATCCTAAGTAAACAAGGTTGTTTAATGAATAATAAAAACCTTCAAGATGGACTGACTTGAATGGCTTGAAAACTCCGAAGATTCATCTTTAATATCATCTTGTCGTCTTTGGACAAGGCGGGAAGCTCGCTGTTTGTACAGCTGGTGCATTGCGGACTCAAGCTCGTTAATCAGAGGCACCTGTGAAAATACAACACACTCCGTAACATCAAGTCCTTTGGGGGCTCAGTTTTCTGGGGTCCCGTCCTACTCCAAAGCATAACGCTGGCACTGTACTCCTAACAGCAAAAACTCTTTTCTTCTACTCATTCGTATCGTTTGGACCAGTAAATATTTCAACTGGAAGGACAAGCATGCACTTAACAGCGTGGGTAGCTCTCAACAGCAGCAGTCGAGTTCCTAAAGTAACTGTTTCAGAGACTGGAAAATGTAATTTCAAGCACTCTGTGATTTCCTGAGTGCACTCAAATATTGTGTCAGGCTAATACTTACAATTCACAGACCTCATTATTTCCACTCTATTTTTAAACCAGGTGCTAGCAATATTCTGTTAGTTTAATATGAAAACAACTCGACTGTATGTGGTGGGGAAAAAACAAGGCATCAATCTATCCCCCTGAAGCCAATGGGTATTATCTTGCTACAACACTTATTAGCACATGTTGAAAGGTTATTGAAGTACCTGATGGCATAATGTGCTTATGCACCTGTTCTACTAAATTTCCTCTAATCAAATGATTAATCTAAGCAAAGTTTTCCTCTAATCCAACATTAAAATCAAAACTGTAAAGTTCCTCTGAGTTAAGCATTAGGAATAAACTTTGAAACATACAGACCTAACTTAAAATCAGATCTGCTATCCATTATTATTAGCATTTTAACTGGATGAAATTTCAATAGGAACTGTAACAAAAAATGTCCTATAGCAATTGGAAGTTTCTGGAGATTAGTAGATTCACTGCTCACTTTTGTAGATTCATTTCTTGGGACAAGTTGAAGTTAGATTACAAATATTTAAACGTAACACAGAACTTTTCATTTAACTCTTAATTTGGAAAGGCCAAATCCTGCAATGATGCTGTGTCCTCCTTACCTCCAAGGATACGTTTAGTCATCAGTCTTCAACTTTTTAACTCAAATATTCATTCTTGCCTACTATCCAAGACTACTTTTTTTYTCTTTTACAAACAAATAAATAAATAAATTGTTTACTGGTCCAATTTAGAACATGTTATCAGTAATTTATAATAAAGATTCCCCTTTCGCAAAATTTAAAATTATGASATTAACGCTGCAGTGCCATTTCAGCTATGCCAGAATGATATACACATCAGAGGAGACATTAAAAGCAAGAATTATTAGTTCTTTGGGGTATAAGTTGGATCACAAGGGGGAAGAAAAAAAGAAAAAAGAAAACAAGAAAGAGAACTCCATACCAACTCCATTTTTTTTTTTTTTGAGAAAGAAGAGGGAGTAGAGGAAGACGAAAGGGAAGACTCCAAAGTTGGAAGTCTAAATTAAGATTTTAAGGCAGATTTGAAAACAGATTTAGTCAAACAACATTMGTTTTACTGTACTTTGTCACAGAAAATAGTTTCTTCTTGTAAACGTCTAAAGAGAACTCTAAAATTGAGAAGTCAAAACATTTTTTGAAATAACTCCTCGATTTCTTTTCCTGTAATCATCCCAAGTTTCTTTCTAGAATTGCCTCAGCAGTAAAAGTATGTATTCAGATAGCTAGATCTACTCAAAAAACATTTTCCATTTTCCACCTAAGAAACTTGGAAGTTATTCTTTTACAGTCGTTACCACGATTGATGAGTGACTGACAATTTCACTACCTCCTGTGAAGACACAGCCTTCGTTCATTCACTGCTTTGTTTAGTCAATACTTTAAACTTGGTGATTTTTTCTATCTTTCTTCCAAAGTAAACAGTACAAGAGAAAAAAATGCAAAGGTTTCAGAACATTTAGACTACAAAGTACATTAATCTACAATTCCTTGCACTCTGTTTGAAGGATTGCTATTGCAGATAGAGTGACAAATTATCCAACCATTTTACCAAAGGTAGGCTAAGAAAATTTTAGTATTCCTCTCTTGAATATTCTTAGATTCAAAAGGTAAAGACACTTCTACCAATTTTTAGCCTTTTCAGAAAGTATATTYTGGACCATATTTATTTGTGAAGGAACAAAGCAAGCACCCTCTATTCCACCAATTTTATAATTTATGAGAAGAAAAAAAAAAAAAGATTTGATATTTCTATTGCCAGACTTTAAAATCTAGATAAAAAAGGCAGCTGTTTCACAGTACTCTCCACTGCACCTTAGCAATAAGCAATACATGTCAAAGGTTCAGTGGCTCTTCRAAACAGAGGACAAAACTGTTTTCTTTTTGGCAGGGGGAAGGACACGGAGGGCTAACGTGTTGAAGAGGTAGAGGAATAAGGTGGGGGTGYAAGAAAAGCCCACTTTGCAGTAACATTCTCTGCTCCAGAACTGTCGACAGACACAGAGAGAGAGCCTAGGTGAGGGAGCGTTGTGACAGCACCAGGGCTTGCTCAGCTGAGCACTTCAGCATCACGTCACTATCAGTGCAAACCGGACTAACAACACGGTCTAGACCAGGACTAATACAACACAGAAAAGGCATCACATGGGGGAAGGTCCTATTTTATATACATATATAATAAGCGATTTTTTTTCTTTTAATGCATACATACACTATAATGCAAACATTCACATATATAAATATATATAAAKATTTAAAGCAAGGGTMTGTGTGGGATTACATATAGMCACACAGACACTTGCTTTAACTGCAAAGTAGCCAGCAGCACAGGTCCTACAAAAGGTTGAAGGTAATTTACCTCTATAGGAAGGTTCTCTTCCTGCTGTATTTTATTACTCTATTTAAAAAAATGAAGTGTTTGTTAATTTTATTCCCCTTCCCTCCCTAAAGGAAAAAACAAAACGCCAAACCAAAAAACAACCAGCACCRAGCCAAGAAACAATCCTGCTGTGTCCTGTGGGCTACTGTGGTTTTGAATTTCACAGTATTTTCATCCTGCTGAAAGTACTGAATTACAAAATAGACGACGTGACCAAAGGACTGAGGAATACATAGGATGCTATAGTTAAGAGGAAGGCTGCAGTTAAACTGACTACATTCCAGCCTAATCCTGCAGCTCACTGTGCACAAAGGAACTTCAGCAACACTCAGCCAAAGCAAGTAGAACTCTGACCACCTTTAAGAAGCACTAAACTGATCAAAAGCACGTAAGGAAACTTCACAGGACTGGCACTTGGGGTATTTTTGGAAGGAACGTAATATCCTCAGAAAAACAGCCACCCAGAACGCAAAGGCACATTTTAAGAACGCAATTTAGCTGCTGATAACTTAACACATTGGCTTGTTAAGCTGTTCCATCATGGCTAGAACTGATTTCCCAGGATAGCTAAATAGGCCTCTGTCAAAGACCTTCTATACCTTCGTACAATATTAGTAAGAAACTTGCTTGGTTTAGATAAAAGACTAGAGGGCTTGGTTTACATCCGAAATTGTGTTTTCCAAAACAACTGGTTTAAACAAAATATTTTTAGCAAGACTGCAGACAGTCATACAGACAACACCCATGCACAGCCTACATTTACCACAACAGAAATCTAACAAAAAGCACTTAAACAAACAAAAAAMCCCACAAACACTGAATAGAGATATCGATATTTCACTTGTCTTCCAAAACATAAAATAATCTAAAAAGCAAAAATATGAAGTTCTCTTTAAATAAGAGCTTAAGTATCTGAGCAAGCAGCACTGATGGGAGTAGCAAAGAAGTCACCTTTATTCTCCACGATTAGCTAGCACCAACACAGGCTCAGCAATGCTGCTTTTTCCATGAGCAGCATTTGTCAGAGCTAATCAATGAGCTGGTAATCAACCGCTCCACGCTTCCACAGGTTTGTTTATGGCTGATGGTGACTCTCTAGTTTAGAAGGTTGAAGATGAGCACTTCCAAGGCCATTAATATTGGACAGCTACTGTATCACTGACTGTGATCACTGTATCAGAATGCTTCTATTTTCATTTTCCTCACTAACAAGTGAAGTGATGGAGAATATCGACTTTCATTATTTACCTCCCTTAACTCTCACAATTAATGTAATAAAGAAAACAGAGGAATCGTCTATCCTGCTAAATGAATTTTTAACTTTTTGTAATGTTATTATATTTACCATATTTTAATAGTTCATTTAACTATTTACATCAAGCTAAGTAATTAAATCATAATGAACAGCAGAAGAAAGAGTGACTAAGTTTTCAAGTTAGAAATACACAGGAGGACTGTACCACACAGAAAGTGTATGCTTAAGTGTGGCCGGCTTCAGCCAGCAACACTAGTTTTAGAATTAGTGTTCAGAACTAGTTTGGTTTGTACCAAAGTACTAACCAAATGTGAAATTGTTTGGCAGAAGGAAGTTTACAATATCACACAAAATATGAATCTTTGTTGCCATGTTTATAAGCTGTTTCGGAAACTAGCAGTCTTAGAATTTTGCTTTTTTTTTTTTTTTTGGCTAGTTATTTGTTATCCTGATAGCCAACGTGCAGAAGGCAGAATCTGAGTGAAGTTAGAGTGCCACATCATCTACCATATTGCTAGAGATAGATAAACTAAAAACATTTTCAGGCCATAAAAAGCCAGTATTATGTTCCAACAGAAAATACAGCAGTGATTGGTGTTATTGAATAATAGATCTTACTTTGATAGCCAACTGAGCCTGATGAAAAGTTGTCTTTTTAACACTTGAATAACCAAACCTTTAGAAGAAAATGTTCTCAGGGGACTTTTTCAAAAGGAAGGTGTGTTGTTTGGCATGTACTACAATTCCCTAGGGTTTTTTTTTTTTTTTTTTTTTTTTTGAAAAAGAAGATGAATGTTTTTGCATCCTTACCTTTTCACTGAAACACTCAAGCAAGTCTTGGACATACCCTCGCATTTCTTGCAAAAACTTATACTGTTCACCAATACCCCCAGAAGACCCTTCTAATCTCTCAATTGCCTTGGTAGAGTCCTCCCGGCTTTGCTGGTGTTTCTCGTATTGCTGCCGATTAGCTCTGTGCAATTCTTTCATAGAGTCCAACCTGAGGGACAACGAATAAATACCAAGTTTACATCCAAAAGTCTATGTTTCAGATTGTTGAGACATTAAACATGCATTGCAAGATCCAGGGAAGTATTTTATAGACATTCTCTAACTTAAGCTTGCTGCTTTCTCCGCTCTCTACCTAAATAGCAAGGCTAATGGCCTAAATTAATTAGCTAGGCAGTGCAATGTACTCAGCTTAGCCAACTCCTAGAACCTTCACGCGAACTGAAAGCACTTAGAACACTGCAGAACTGTCCCTAAAGGGAAAAGCAAGGAGTTTTACAGTACACCTACCAAAATAAGTATACAAACTGGAACTCACATAGAGCTAACCTTTCTCCTCTAGCAACTTGCTGACTAACAAAGTCTGTAAGGCTACAAGGGGCATACAAACCAATTCTGAGGACAGGTAAAGGGCAAGTTGTTCTTTAGAAATGTTTTCTCCCTGCAGTTGGGCTGTGCATTCAACAGGACCCTTCTCATACCTGACAAGCAGATTACAATGTTTAACGTCCCAAGTTGCTTAGACTAAAATCTAAATTCTTTATCTACTCAGAAGTACCTGATTTACAGCTTAATAAAATGTTACTTGACAAGCTAAGACCTCACTGGCCTTTCAATTCTTGACTATAAGATTGTGCAGTGTCCAGAAGATGCAACTCAGACCTGTCTTCAACAAGATCAATGGCCACATATTTAAAGCTTCACTTCCAGAGAAGCAATCCGAGGAGATTTTCAAACAAAATGTCAATGTCATCTTCATTTTTTTGTTTTTGTTTTTTGGTTAATGGATGTGCCAGTCAGAACTTCTCCAGCGATGAAACTCTGCATTTGCTCACCGACACTAAGAGGTGCCTGAGGAACAGAAAGCTAGGGGACAGGTCTTTAAGTCTAGAAAGATGGTCTGTCCTACCTGTCTTTAAGCTGTTTCTTTACCAAATCAATAGTAACAGGAGTCATCTCATTACTGGGAGTTTTGAAAGGAACCGTATTATCTGTTTTTTGAGACTTGGCTTCCGATGATCCATAGGCAGCGTAAGTGTATGGAATGCCGTACGATGAACCATAGGACAGTGTCTGGTAAGTGTTCTGGTAGTACAGATTATTCACTTCAGCAGGCTGACTTGGTTGAACCTATAGAGAGGTGGCATGTGATCACACTGTATATAACTCCAAAGGGAAAAAAAAGTTATTTTAGTTCACATAAACCTTGCAAAATGAAAAACGTAGGCAGATATATATTAATGTAATTGTCAAAATAACTAAAATGAAGTGTAGAGACATATGGCAGAAGCTGGTACAACTTCCAGCTCTATGTTTATGCTGCAACACCAGGAACAGCCAARAAGCATATGCTGTTACAGCACAGACTCTATAAACACACTGCTAAGCRAGAACAAAAGTCTTTTCAAAGTGGCATTATTCTAGCTCTACTCTAACCTCCAAATAAGTGCTAGTTAACAGCACAAAAGTGATCAATACCTAATTTACCTAATTTACCTAATACTCTTTATAAAGAAAAAAGAAACAAATATTGCCAGACACTTAAAATATGAACTCTCACTTCATTCTGAAGACTATCAGAAATTCCACACCAAACATCTCGAGTGRAACTGCCTCTGTAAACTAGACAAGTTCGCAATGGATTCAGCCAACATACACGAAAACAGAACAGGAATGGTTCACAACCAGATACGTGCCTGAGGTATGTTGATTCCTTTCCGTATCTGTTCCTGCTCCCATCTGCTGAGCTCTTCATCCTGCTCCCCTGCCCCCAGGGCTTCATCATCACTTCCCTCAATACCTGAGCCCGAGTAAAAGAAAGAGGTAACAAGGAGATAATACATTCACAGGAAGGGCCATGCTGAAAGTCTTGCTCCATTGGGAACATGGAGTTCAGCGCATTCTCCCTCGCTCTTCACAAAGGACTAAGGACACGACTCCAAAGTATTTTCATGGATGGTTCTTTTCAAGGATCTAATGGACATACTTGCAGTCAACTGTTAGTAAAGCTCTCTAACGCTATAAAAACCTAGATCTTCAAAATCCTTTTCTTGAAGATTTTACCTGCTTGCCAGCAAGCAGAATGCTACCCTGAAGAATAAATGCTCTTCTGACAACTATATACACTTCGTAAAAAAAGATAAATACAGGACCAATACTTATTACATCATAGTTGCTCCTAAGTGCAAATTCAGCTAGGATTTTGTGCAGCTGTGTGTTTCTTAGCATGGGAATCTAGTTTATGCACTTTTTTTTAAACAAACAAATCTTTATGCAGTACTTAAAAGAAAAAAAAGATTTACATCTGAGAAGCACTACACAGGTTATGATCCTGACATATTTTGTTGTGTGAAAAATGCACTCTGTAACAACATTGACAGGGAGCGCTTGCAGTGAAACAATGTGAATATTTATCAGCTGTGCAATGGTCCTTCTGAAAAGATTTTACCTATTTCCTCAGCAATCTTTTGCCTTTGGGATTTTTCCTTCACCGTAAAAACTATCCTCCTCTTCTCATCATCATCTTCATCATCACTGGCATCATTTTCGTCTTCTCGAACAAGGCGGCTTTTACCTGGTTCACTGTCAACAGGGGTAAAGTCTCCAAGTTCACGAGCCATTTGACGCTTTTTCCTAGCGGCGTGAATAAAAGCAGCATCTGGAATTTCTCCTGGAGACAGATGTTTGCACAGGTAAACAACCACTGCAACCAAGCAGGTATTATGACTCCTCWTCACTCATCTCTGCCACCCTACTACCTCTTCTTCCTAAGCAGCAAAGACTCTGGCAGACAGATACATCTTCAAGCAAGCTATAAGCTACACATGCAACATTTCAGACCTGTAACTCTCCAAGGTAGGATTCTCCCCAAAACAGCTTTCTCTGCTTCCATCAGCTCCATAGGCCTAATGTCCCTACAGAAAATATGCCCAAGAAGAGGAAGCCCTTTCCAGGGACCRACTACTGCAAGGGGAGGAAATATTAAGGCTTTTGCTGTGCCACTCCTTGATCTGATACTGCTCCTGACTCTTAGTTATACATGGGGAAGAGGGGGAGCTGTTTAAAAAAAGAAAAAAAAAAAACCATCCCCCCGCCCCCCCCCAAAACGAGGGCCATTTCAGTAAGTGACAATAACTCAGAGATCAAAGGACACCAAACAGGACAAAGATAATAGAAGATGATAGCACAGTTGAGGAAAAATAAGAAGAGCAGGCCTAAAAAACTGCCAACATTGCTAGTAAAAAAAAATGCAGCATGCCTATATCCTTCACAGGATGCTCCCTCCCACCCAGCACATAATTTTTTAAAGTATCGGTAATTTTTACCATTACTTTGATTAGGTACATACAAAAGACTGAAGTTCATATTCTCTTCACACTTCAAATGACATGCCTTTGGAGGCAAATGATTTATCTTTAGAGATAAAATTAGGAACATACTGCACTACTTTTGAATTGCCCTCGCAAAAAGAGGGGAAAAAAAGCTGGGAGCCAACTAGAGAAATTTTCTTTCTCRTACTACTAAATTTTCCTGAAGTACAGGCATGCAGAGGAAGTTTGTATTCGGGCAGCAGAGTACCACATAGTCAGATATCAAGTAGTTAAACTACCTAAAAAATATAATAATAAAAAAATTAAAGTTATTGTTTTGGCCTGCGGGCTTGATAAGAACTGCATTAGCCAGAATGAAGTATGAAATATCTGAGGTCCCTTTCAGACCTGTAACTGAGACATTCAAACAGAAGACAAAGTTTTAATTGAAAGCAATTAAAATTCCCATYGAGTAACCTAATTTGATCACAAATTCTGTTAGCTTATCAAGTTGAGAAATAAATTCCCRGCTTTGACATGAAGATTAGAGCATTCTGCACCGCAGCATTTTCTCCCATGAGACAGTAAAATTGAGCAGCTTTGGAAAATGGCATTTTCCTGAATTCTCAGATGCAGGCCTTATTGCTAACAAACATTTCTTAATCCCTCAAATATACCAACCTGATGTAACTGCTGGCTAAGGCATTTCTCAATATATCAGACATATTACAATARCCCACCTGGTCGGAGAACATTTAGTGACGACAGAGCACTTGAAAATGCCCCACCAGCTTTTGGTTTTTCTTCTTCCTTCTCACTTTCAACTTCCATTTCTTCTTCACCTTGTTCAATGTTTGCAGTCCCATCTTCTTGATTTATATCCTTGATCAGTCCTGCTTTTTCTAGAGGTGGTTCAACTGTTAAGACAAAGTCCACCTTTCACTCTCATTGGAAAAGGCCAGTGAAAAGCATCTTTTTAATATCAAACAACTCAAAGTGAAAAAAAAAAAATAGTAAATGCTAATTTCACTGGCCACGGA